TCTCTCTCTCTCTCTCTCTCTCTGGCACTGAATTTGTGGTTTAAATTGATTTATTGATTGTTTTGTATTTTATGGCCGCCTATAGTCTGATTGGTTGGGGACAGATCCGTAGGGGCACTTCCATCGAGCCCTCGTCCAATCAGCCGAGCATTTTGCCCAATCGACTCGACGCCCAAATCTAAGCATCCGATTGGCCGCCGATTATAATAATTATAATTTTCTAATTCATTGATTATAACTCTTTTTTTAGTTTTAATTTAATTATTTTGAATGTTTTGTCTGTATTTTGTGGTCAGAACTCACGGCTTGTATTGAATTAATCGTTAAATAAAAATAAAATTTGAATGAAAATAATTATCAAAAGATTTTGTGTTTAATTAAAAAGTGATTTAAATGTTTGTGAAAAATGTTTTTGATTACAAATTAAATGAATGTCTCATTGATTATCATCTGTCGATATGAAAGCCATCCATGAATTGATCCAAACTATAGCCGTTGAGGGCTTCGATTGGCAATGAGTTCATGGAATACCTCTGCGGCTGAACACCGGCACCACTGGTCAGGAACCGAAACTCCGGTACAATCGGTGTCTATAATTATAGCCATAGAGTAGACAAAGAGTTATTACATGTCAGCAATTAGTGGCGTTCATAATCACTGGTCATTACCTCGTCATCGGCGGTAATAATGTCGAGCCGTCGGGCGTACAGTTCGTCCCAATCGAAAAGCAACGAATCAGTGGTCGCGCCGAACGGATTCATGTCGACCAACACTACCCGTCCTCTCGTCGGTCGGTAGACATCCATAACGACTGAGTTGTGAATTGAATGCGTTATTAAATGTGATCACAAAGTGATAAAAGTAATGTGTTTACAGTCTCTGTCGGGGAACTGATTCTGGACTCGTGTGACAAACAGGCGGTGAATGTCGCCAATGATGTCCTCCTTCTGGTGCCCGATGTGCTCGTAATACGACCGGACGTCCCGTTGGGTAATACCTGTGCGCCAATTGGCCGACAAAACACTTATTATACTGTATGTGAATCGCAACTCTGCGGTACCTATGAGTTGATTGTTGGCCACAAAGCACCGGAACTCCATCGACGGGTTCATATCGACCCACTTCTTGAGCACCAGTTCGTGCTCTACGGGCGGCGTCTCATCCGTACAGTCCTTAAACCTATCGGCAAAATATAGTCATTAATTGATCCCAAAAAAAACCCAATCCAAAGCACTCATACGGTTGTGTCAAGTCGTGAACAATACGGTCAGAGCTCTTGAGCAATAGGTAGACATCGTCGGGGGTCAGACATCGGGTGCCGGTGGCGCTCATCCAACTGCTGTCCTCACATGAACTCCAGTTCAACTTCGGGAACACCGCTCCCAACGAGTCCAACGCCGCGCGCATAAAGGCGTCCATTTCGGGGAACTCCGGCGCCGCCGCCTCCGCTTCGGATGACTGGCCATCGCTATCATCGCCGCCGCCGTCTGGCAGTCGATGGGAACCGTTTTGATGGTCGTTATCGTCGCCCCAGTCGTTGTCGTCAGCGATCTCTTCTGCGTTGCCATCGGATCCGCTGTTGAAAAACCAAAGACAGTGTTATTATCGGCCAATGAATGGCCAGCATTTCGGGCGTATATCTCGCGGCCAAACCTTTTGGGCAAAACAATGCCATCGCTTAACAAGTATTGTATAAAATCGTCGCTCAGTTTCATTGATTTGCTGTCCGTTTGAGACAAAAATAAATCATTTAATTAATCAATAATACAATTAGTGGTCAGACAAGCAGTTTATACACTATTCGGGGGTTCATTATAACGGGTAACACATTATCCATAGCCTATGCCACGGATTTAACGGTAGTTTTAATTAATTTAATTACAAATAAGTTTTGGAAAATACCTGTCAATAGAGATGTCGGCAAAGAGTGAATACCATTGACTGAAACCACAGTTGAGTACATGTTTTGATAGCATCGCTCTCTCATAGGCTTAACGTGTGGTTAAATAGCGATCAAAAAAGTGGTATTAATTGTGATTAACACTGGATTTAGTGATACAACCAAAGCGTGTGTTTATATATGTGTTGTGTTTTCATAACTCAATAATCGCTTACGAAATGCAATACAAAACTTGCATTCAATTCAATGCAACAATACTTTTATGCCATAAATGACGTGACATTCAAATCAAATGCATTGAAAAACACACCAAAAAACTGTTACAAAAACTTTTTACTTTGATTTGGGATTTGTGTCTACTTTT